ATAAACTATGCAACTTGGATGGATGCGATGGTGGCGTGACCACAGTGCACACGTGTGATGTTGCTCACAGTGTTCCTGTCACAGTGCAGGGAAAGTAGGACCCAAATGCAGGACTTTCTGAATGGAGATGGTGCGTTTATTTACAATGAAAAGAAGCTTTAAAACAGTGCCAACAATCCACAGAGTCTGTGTTCTCTGAGCGCTCGTTCCTAATCCCCGTGCCGTGATCTGTGGTGTTTAGTCCTCCTCGGTGCCTTTGTACAACAGTGTGCTGCTCCCACCACACGTTTCCACAATCCACCTGGAAATGAGAGAGTCCACAGCGAGTACTGTCCCATCCACCGGCCGACAAAAACACTTCAACCATTCCAACAGGAGAAGTTCAGCGACCACAGTGACTAGAGCAAGAGCACTGACTATGTTCCTAGTTTAACAATCCCGCGCTGGCTGCCTCTCCGATCCTCTCTTGAGTAGTGTTTCCTTGACGATCGGCAACAGGTGGCTGATTACACCAGGTGTGGCTGGCTCAAAGGCTGAAGACTCTCCAGGCCTCGTATGGCAGCAAAACACACACACCGCAACACACACACCCAAACACAGAGACAGGGAAACAAGGGACCAGGAGCAGATCACACCAACAACAACAATAAACAATCCACATAGTCAGATAGAAATTATAATACTCATTAAACCCAAGAACAATGCATGAGCCCTGACCCAGGCCCATCAGGTCCATCGACCGCTCAGGGAGTTTGTGTGTTTGCTCAGACACATGAAACATTAGAGGGAACATTATCTGCAGGAAGAGCTGTATTAGACATTCTTATTATCAGAACTGCTGTCTGAACTCTGCCATACCATCATCTTCATCACAGCTTTGGCACGCGTCCCTGGAGTTTGGAAGATCCTGAGGTATTCCTCTCTGACATCCTTCAGAGGCAGTTACATAAAGTACATTATATCTTATTGGCATAAATATTGTTCATAATGGGTTGATTTTTATTTTCAAATT